CTGATATGGGGCGCACACAGGCTGCAGATGTACCCAACACGCACCCATGGAAAGCTAACAATGCTCATGCGAGTGAAAACGAAATAACTACAATCCGCCGCACATAAACACATGCTCGAACAACTCAATCAGACATGACGGGAAAACAGCATGTGATATAAACCGCACGGTGAGCCCGCATATTCTGGCCACTCGTGCCAGCAACTGTCGCACACGCTTCATCCAAAACATCAGCGTACGAACTTCAATTTGCACCAATGCAGACCGTGCAGCTGGGGTTAGCCGTGCATTTGTGGAATAACGCTGCGTGACATATTTGCTCCTTCCAGGATGGGACATCTTCAGGAACACCACATAGGTGGTTGAACAAACGAAGACATACATGAAAGCAGGAACACCACGATAATAGTACATATCTCGCTGGTTGTATCATGCCGTATGCTATCGGTAGTTGCTGTAGTGGTTGCAAGAACGAGAGGAGGCTTTCTACCCACAGAAACGACAACGACTTCATCGTATTATGTATGATTCGAATATTGTGCTGTAAATGCGAATTGAAATGGAATTTTTGCAGGTAGACGTGCCACTGGTCGTTCTGATCATGACACATGCGAACTTACCACTTAACATACACTACACGACAGGTGAACCAACCAGCAACACATCGGTTGTAAGCCATGTCGTGCATTCTGTGTATGGTGCAATACATTTGCTGCATGGCATGTGGTGAAATCTACGTGCTGTAAACCATGTTGTGGCAGGAGCAGGATAAAGCAGATGCCTTTATACATTGAGCCAACCCGGCAACGGATCGAAACAAAGCTCCCGCTCTCTGTCGAATGAACTACAAGCTAAACCTATATCTGTCAAAATGGAACTCCATCACATGGGACTGACTTTCTAATAGGTTTAGCTGCCCCATGCAAACAGCACTGTACACACAAGTCAGTCTTTGTCCTGAGAAACAGGACGAGCAAAGGACAGGAGAGAGGGAGGAGAGTTGCCGGTCCCCGGACCCGGTACGACACTTCGAAAAGCCGACCAAGACACCAACCGAGAGTCTTGGGCAAGAATCCTCCTCGAGGCGGCCTGGGAAGGGTCCTTGTTTCCCGGGTCCTCCTTGCGACGATCAAGCTCCTCGGCTTCGTCGACTAGAACTAGCTTCCCGTGGGTGAGAAGATTGGCTAGAGCAGCATTGCCCTTGGTGATGTCATCTTTGGTCAGCACATCCACTGGCATCCTGGAGCGTGGGACCCAGCGAACGTGCCCTCTAGCATTCTCGACCGTCTCGCACACCACGGCTAAGTCCAGCGCCGTCCTACGATCCTTGGCGCTAGCGTTGCCCTCTTTGAGCATTGTGTCGTAGATGCTCTTCGCGTCTACGACGTGCACCTGGTCTTCACCACCCCCAAGACTGCAGTTACTCCTCAGAACGGTGGTGAACGGCCCTGCCCCTCGGCAGTAGTCCGAAACATCGACGTCCTGGAACATGACGTCTCTGTACAACACCTGCAGAAACTCTACTGCGGCCACCGCTGCAGAAAGTGCCTGTGTTCCGCCTGCAAGAGTCGAAGTGACTTTGCGGCGAAGCTTGGAGCTCCTCCAACCGAGAATTGACGCACGAACGACACGGTTATCAATCGCGCTCTTGTCGGTGGCCAGCACCATCCACGCCCCTTGGGTTGGGTCCTCTTGGAGACCCTTCTCGTCCACCGATCCCTCGCGCGAGCCCACTCCCCCGGCGTCCGAGAAGGACACGAAAGCCGTCTGCTCGGGATCCAGACGCCAGATGCTTAGGCCTCTCGAGGCCGTGGCTCTCAAGTGGCGCACCATCTTATTGGCACAGGCCACGTCCCCAACAGTAGGCTCTTTGAGCCGACTCGCTGAGATACTGGCCGTTCCCGCGGCCCCGGGACGCGATTCACGACCGACCCAGTTCAGCTTATATATGAGCGAACGCAGAGCCTTGAACTCTTCCTGGTCCAGGGGGGGCCTTTTCTGGCCTAGGCTTCCGCGGGCCAGGGTGATGGGCCTGATTTCCTCGAGGATGTACTTTTCTTGATCAACTATCGTGCGCTGAGGTCCGAAGCGCACTGATCGTCCAGCATACTCGACAGGTCCGGCAGCACAGTCTCTGTACTTGCCGAATCGGAACCTGCCGTCGAGCTTCGTCCTCAGCCACTGTCGTGACTCCTGGGAGTCGCTCGCAATGAAGAAATCGTCAACTTCCAGGAGAATCAGATTGCAGATGTGCCCCCGAGTGTCGTACCAGATCCACCAGCACTGCTCCAGGAGGCTCCTGCAGAAACCTAAATCTTTGAGAAAACCCACAATAGTCTTGCGCCAAGCAAGTGGCGCATCATCCAGACCGTACACGTTCACCTTCAGACGGATCGGAGATCCGGGTTCAACCTTGATGCCTTCGCATGGTTCAACGTAGATCTCGCCCTGGGATCTCCTCATAGGATCTGATTGACAAAAAGCGTTTTTGACATCTGCTATGTCTCCCAGGAGGGAGAGATTCATCATCACCTGGATGAACATTAGAATGGATGTCGTCTGGGGGGTGGGAGAGTGCACAAAGAGCGAGCCCGTGTCGGGATCCTTGCGTCCGTGGACGCACCAACTGGACTTCGCCACTGGCTCGGAAAAGGTACCTTCCACTGGCTTCCACCTACGCGCCATTCTACTCGCGATGATCCTCTCGGGACACGAGCGTCTCACCGCGGAGGCTTCCCGTGGGGCAATGACTTCGACAGCTCCTGAGCCGAGCATACTCTTCCACTCTGAATCGTCTGAAATCTCGAACTTTTGTCGCTCAGCGGGCGACAGCTTTCCTAGAGTAACCTCTCCTCCCCTACTGGCAGCAAACACTTCAACGTCATCTTCGGGCCCCGGGACCTCGGTCAGATGCACCCCTCCATCGTCCGTCGGCTGAATCCAGAAGCGCCCTCTTCCCCGAGGCGACCTCTCGTGGACCTCGGGCCCCTCGCTGCCTCGAAGACGATCTTCAATCTAATCGACTCTCCGACCGACCAGACCCCTTGACTCCTTGCCTGGCCTGGAAGAAACGGGAGGAAGAGGAGGAGGAGAAGGAGAGAAGAGGAAACCGAAGGGAGAGGGGAAACGGAAGGAGCCGGGACCTCGGAGGAAGGAGTCGACACGTTGGGCGGGTCAAGCCCCGGAGGCGGACCCAGCTTGGCTCTCTTGGGCCCCCCGCCGGCCGCACCTGGCGGGCAGCTGGAGGCTCGTTCCTCCGCTCTCCGCCGGAGGATGCAAGCTGGCGCATCCACTGGCTGCCGGAGCCTGCCCCCCCCGTCCCCATGGGGGCGCCGGGGCGGAAAGGAACGGAGGCGGAGTCGGAGGGAGGAAGAGGAGAAGACGAAGGAGAGGGAGAGAGAACAGAGGTGTCAGCGTCGGTGGCATCGGCGGACACAGCGGCAACAGCACCACCTGGTTCTCCCTCCAGACCAGGAGGTGGAGAGGGGACAACGTCACTAGCCACTAGCCCCCGGAGAGTCCAGATGAGAGGGGATCTCGTCGCCCTCGGAGATAGACGGGAGCCTCGCCCCCTCCGGTCCAGCTCGAGCCATCGCCGATGCCCCGGACGAGGACGGGGCCCGAGATCGGGCTCCTCGGGCCGGACGGAGCATCACCGGGTCGAGGGCTCCAGGTCCCTCCTCGGGTCGTGGGACAGGCGCAGCGTCCCTCGACCTGGGCGGCTCGGCCGGGGCACTGAGACCTGAGTCGGATCCTGGGGCCAGGGGCTGATCCCAGGCATCCTCGGGAGGTGGACCCTCGCGCTGGACGTCCACAGCCGAAGCCCTCCTCGTCTGGGCCTGGCTCAGCAGCTCCGCCCAACGCGGATCCTGGGACAACTGGATCCCGAACTCTTCTTCTGGCGATGCCAAACGCACTTGCTCGGGGGAACACTTCCACAATCTCGCACGCACGGCGACCCACACGGTACCACGCTCGGCCAGGACCACCACTCCTGGGCCGGTCCAGGCGTCCCGACGCCTGCCGAGGGTATCGGCCCTGGGACCCGCCTTAGTCATCCTACGCCACACGTGAACCCACTGGCCAGGAGCAAAGTTCACGGTGGGTCCGGCCCGGGCCTTGCTCGCTCTCTGGACCTTCTCTCGAGCGGTGGTTTCCAGGGCAAGTCCCCGGGCAACCTCGCGCACTTTTTGAAATCTCGCAAACTCGGCTCCGGCCGAATCGAGCTCCGATGAGGGACGGATGCAGTCCTGCCACCCTGGCAGCCCTAGGTGATCGCCAGACAAGATTTCGCGTGGGAGTCGCGGGTTCTCCTCCAGGACAAGTTGGATTGGTGAAGACCCCCCTCTATGCCAAAACCTATTCTTGTGAGCACATAGCTCATAGACTAGCTCCTCGAGCTCAGCCAGGTCGACCGGGATTTCCGACCCGGCCTCCAGTTCAGACGTCACACGCTCTTTGATCCACCCACCGTGTCTCTCGACGCGTCCGTTTTGCCAAGGCGAGCTGGCGTCGCAGATGTGGCGCATCACGCCCCACTGTTCGAGACCTCGAGCAAAACGATCTTCAAATTCAGATCCTCCATCAGAGAGCAGAAAATGGGGAGCTCCGAGTGGTCGAACCCAAGCTTGGACAAACGCTCTCCACACACACAGCCTTCGGCTCCTCAACCCTGACACAACCCTGCAAGTTGGATCCGTGATCCAGTATGTTAAGGAATGGGATCGATTTCTCCTGGAAAGGCAGAAAGAACAAATCGACCCCGACGATGTGGTTGAAACGAAGTGTCCTCGGCATCGCCACCCGCCTATGACTGGCGGTGCGCGATCGCTCTGAGCACTCGGAGCACTTGAACGAGTCTCGGATCCAGCGAAGCAAGTGTATCTTCACGCCTCCCGCGCGCAGGACTCGAATGAACTTTCGATTGTCTGGGTGGCCCATGTTGTGATGCAGCCGAAACAGCAAACGCTTCTCTTGATCTGGTGGCTCAGGAATTGGTT